CAAAAATGCTGTGAAGGTGACTTTTTAAAACCTTCACAGTGTTTTTGCTGTGAAGGTTCGACTTTTTAAAACCTTCACAGTGTTTTTGCTGTGAAGTTTACGTGTAAAAACGTGGTCTCACGGGTCTCACGAAAACAGGCTGGTCTCACGTGAACCCAACCCTATATATATATATATATAGGGTTCATTCAAAGAAAAACTGATTAGTTTGTGATAACTTTGAGATCCAATCTCAACCACAAGCCAATGGATATATTAAGAAAATATTGATAATTTAACTTAAAATCATAATTAAATGGCATTTTAGGTATTTTAAATTTTTTTATCTCTCCTCTCATCACTCTCTCCTACCTCCGGCCTCTGACGAACACCATGTGATACCCAAAATATATACCAAGTAAACTTTGAGACCACTTTGATACCAACTGTGGTACCACTGTGATTCCAACTGTGGCGGGGATGGGGAAAGAGAGAAGGGACATGGGTAATGAGGGGGTCATAGGAACAAATATGGGGCTAGCTGTCGAGAATGCTCCCAGGTGGGTGTTTAATGGTCGATCATCGGAGACGGCGTCTTGGTCAAATAAGATGACCGGAGGAGGTTACCAGAGTGGTGGTGGGTGCCGGAGAAGGCCATTGGATTTAGTCTCTCTCTGTGTGTGTGTGTGTGTGTGTGTGTATATACACACATATTAAAAATAATTAAACTAATTAAAGTAAATTGAATAATTAACACAATTTACTAATTTACCCTTTGTTTTATTTTAATAAATAACATTAGTTATCTAAAATGATTGGATCATATTGAACCTCTCAGTTATCACAAACTATCTGTCTATCTATCTATCTATCCATATATATATATAGTTTGTTTCAAATACAACCCATCGCATTTGTACAACCAATGCAACCCAATAAATTGAGATGTTTATGGAAATGACGAGAGTTCATTTATTATGATTTGAATATTTATGGAAGATAAATATGGTTCATTAATTATGATCAATATTTTATATTAGAAAACAATCAAAACTTATATGAAATCACATATTAATCAAATGAAATGGACGATTGAGATTGGGTTGTATTGGTTGCACAAATGTCAAGGGTTGTATAATAACCAACCTCTCTCTCTCTCTCTCTCTCTATATATATATATATATATATATATATATATATATATGTGTGTGTGTGTGTGTGTGTGTGTGTATGTGTATATACATATATAAAATTGGGTTCACGTGAGACCAGTCTATTTTTATGAGACACGTAATACAACATTTTACACTTGAAACTTTACGAAAAAATATTGTGAAAAAAAAAGTCGAGTATTCACACCAGAAACACTGTGAAAGTCACTTTCACAGTAAAAACACTGTGAAAGTTACCTTCACAATATTTTGCTGTAAAATTTCAAGTGTAAAAATGTTATCACAAAAATGGTGTTGTCTCACATGATCTCAATCCTATGGTGTTTTATAATGTATGTATATGAAAAAGTAACGTGTTCTTTTACAATATAAAACAAAACACAAATATTAAAAACAATTATATTGTTAAACAACACTGCTACAAAAATATGTGCTTTTCAAAGTTTCTATATATATAATGTTTTTTTTGCTTTCAAGACAACACAAATGCTGAATGGATGAGCAAACATCATGAATCACGATGACGTATTTATTGGGTCATTCTTCTTCAGGCCCATCCAAAGAGGCCCAAAAGCTTCCAGAGGAATCGGATTCTATAAAAGCCGCGTTTGGTTGGTATATTAATGGACCGTTTGGTTGCTTTCCATTACGTCCTAATAAAACCGTCTTTGTGAATCAAGTTGTCAGTATAGATTAAGAAGATTTTTGTTTGAAAAAAAACTTGATTTTTAGCATAAAACTCCCCTAAAAGCTTATGTAAAAAGATATTTTATGTATCATTAATTCACTTCCAAACAATATTATTAAGCCACTTTCTATATGATATACATCTGACCGAATAAATTGTGAATCACATTAAACTTATTAAGCTGTTAACAAACAGGCCTTAAGATATATAATCTTGAACGGGTTTTTAATTAAATTTATATAATCTTTTGATGGATATGAAGCCATTTTTTTAATATGCCAAGAAGTCATTGATTTAATTTTAAAAAAAGGTCTCAAAGAATCTATGATGCATTGATCGGTCGATAAATACTACTTTTATCGATTTCTACTAATTGCAAAAATGTGGGCTTTGCCGAATGCCTGCCGAGTAACGTGTAAATATACCTCTAAAAAACGGAAAACATGCATAATCCAAAAAGAAGATGAAAAAAAAATGTGTTCATGATTGTACTTTATTGTTTGGTAAGAAAGGCATAGAACCGTTACCACCGGTGCCGAAGTAACGATCTCCGAACTCACCCATGCCCGGAATCACTCTTGAATGCTCGTTTAGCCCTGAATCGATCTCCGACGTAACAATTTTCAACCTTGGATACTGCCTGCAAACCGCATGTATTCCTTCTGGAGCCTACATGCCCCACCATCACCAAGTTTAGAAAATGATCGATTTCGTCCCACTAGGCTTGTTCGGTGGTCATCCTCTTAATTAAAAACCCATTTAGATTATTTAACTAAGGCTATGTTTAGCAAATTAGTTGTTGATGAGTTGGAAAAGCGTTGTTAGTTGATAAATTAATTATAGGTTGATAGTAGCTGTTAGTTGATAAAACAGTCACAACCAAGGCTACCTTTGGCACACTAGTTGGCTATAGGCTGAAAAGCCAGCCGTTAGCTGATAAACTAGTCACAACTAAGGCTATTTTTGGCAAACTAGCTAGACATAGGCTGAAAAGCTTGATAAACTAGTCACAACTAAGGCCATGTTTCGCAAACAAGCTGGCCATGTGCTGAAAAACTAGTTATTAGCTGAAAAACTAGACACAACTAAGGCTATGTTTGTCAAACTAGTTGGCCATAGGCACAAAAGCTAGCTATTAGCTGATATACTAGTCACAACCAAGGCTATGTTTGGCAAACTAGTTGGCCATAGGCTGAAAAGCTGACTGGTAGCTGATAAACGAGTCATAAGACTATGTTTGGCAAGCTAGCTGGCCGTAGGTTGAAAAACTAGTTGCTAGCAGACAAACTAGTCACAACTGAGGTTATGTTTGGCAAACTAGTTGTTAGCTGATAAACTAGTCATGTTTGGTAAAAAAAAACTAATTAAATTAGCCTGATGACAATTTAAAATACCTAAGACATGTTGAAAAATTAACTAGAAAAATACAAGGGGGATAACTTAAAAAAAAGAGGAAAAACCCCTGAAGTTTTATTGAAATGCTACTTGAAGTAGCTTTTCAAAAAACTAGCTTTTATAGCTAACCAAACGGAGCTTTTTGAATAAGCTAACTGGCATAAATGGTTTGGTCTTAGCTTACCGCTATAAGGTTGAGGAAGATGATGTTAGATTCAGAAACACCCTTGCTAAGCAACAGGGAAATTGCCTCCACAGCAGAATCACCTGATCATGCATAAGGGTTAGGGTTAATTTTCAGCATAAGCATTTCCTTAGGGAAAAATGGACTTAAGTTCGGGGGTCATTTAAGAGAATAACCTTCTGACATACTTAAAAAATGCATGATATTCTAATAAATTTAAGAATACATCTGCCTAAAAGAAGGTCTCTTCTTAACATAAAAATGCCTCAAAATCTGTCAGAAAGTCATGCATTTAAAAAAAACCTGACAGATAATAACCTTAAGGCATATTCAAAAAATGCATGACATTCTAACAGATTTAAGAAAGCATTTACCTAAAAGAAGAATATTTCTTCCTAACACAAGAATGCCTCAAAATTTGTAAAGTCCCGCATTTAAGAAACCCGACAGAGAATAATCTTCTGACATATTCAAAAACTGCATGACATTCTAACAGATTTAAGAATGCATCTTCCTAACACAAGTATGTCTCAAAATCTGTCAGAAAGTCACTCACTTAAAAAAAACTGACAGAGAATAACCTCCTGACATATTCAAAAAATGCATAACAGATTTTAGAATGCATCTGACTAAAAGAAGAATGTCTTTTTCTAACACAGGAATGCCTCAAAATCTGTCAGAAAGTCAGGCATTTAAAATACCTATCAGAAGATTATTCTCCTAAATAACCCCAAAGTGCAGGTGTATCAAACCTGAAGCAAGTACTGGATCAAGCAATAAGACCTGGCGGCTTGCGATATCTTTTGGTAGCTTCTCATAGATTAACTGCAGCAAGTGGTTGCAAAGGGATCTTTACTATGACCATTGATGCTAAGACAAGTTTTTAGGTATATAATCTTAAATGAGATTTAAGTTAAATGACCTTCTCTTGAGTATAAAGCCATTTTTTATAGGCCGTGAGGTAATAGCTTACCAAGGCGATCAATGGCTGGTCCGCGAGTATGATCAGCCACACTAGGACTACGACACGGTCCAGACTCCTACGGGAGGCAGCAGTAGGGAATTTTCGGCGATGGGCGAGGTCATGGATTTAATTAAAAACTCATTTAAGGTCATTTTCCCTAAATGACACACGCTAAAACCGAGAGGAAACCAAATCAAACAAGCCTAGTAAATCCCATCCGCAGATGGTTTGGGGGTGGGATGTATGCAGACCTAACATCTACCTCAAAAATTAGAGCTCTACCTGAAAGAGTAGAACTACTATTCAAGTGTGTGCAAAGTGTGCGGGAAAAAAAGGATAGAGCTTGCAAGACTAACAACAAAAAGAACATAAGTTGAATAAGGGGTTAGACCTGCCGTCCATTGCCTTCGCGTTGAATAAGGACTTTACCGATTTTGATTCCTTTGCAACAAGCTCTTAGTGCATTCTCCATGCTTTCCCCACTGAAGAATTATGAAATTTAGACTTGAATTGGTAGTTTTTGGCATTAGGATGAACATGAAGTAAAAGAAAACATGGAAGTGAGGCTAAATAAAATTTGTGCGGTTTTGATGTTACAGTGCCTTTAGTATGGGGATGGGACCTGGAGTGGATGAGCTGAGAGTGGGTGAAAGAATTCTGAAAGGCTTTAGAGTTTTAGGGCCTGTTTGTTAGCAGCTTAATGAGACTCGCAACTTATTCGGTCAACTAGACATGATTGTTTGGTAATGCTTAATGATATAGAAAGTGACTTATTCAGTAAGCTTCTAGGGGGAGCTTTATACAAAAAGCCAAGTTTTACCCGAACCTGCCCCTCCCAATTAAAAAATACGCTCCGTCCATCTATGAAAAACCCTCCCAAACAAAAACAATTACAATCTATACAATGACAAATTAATCCACACGAACAACTTTATTCATATAGGACTTAATAGAAAACCAGCCAAACATCCCCTTACTTTGTTATTGGTAGTTTAGTAATTAGGTGGGCCAGAAAAAAAAATGCATTTTTGTCCGACTTACATCCTGTCCTGTCTCACCGTGGGACAAGTTTTTATACTGTCCTGTGTTCTTTAAGTTCTAGAAAAGCAATACCTTCTGATGACCGAGACTCCACACAACCTTTTGCAGAACACCACTCCTGTGTAGATGGATCCTGCAAGCGGTAGAAGATTTGCCAAAAAAAAGCTACCATTTTAGTATCTTAACGACATGCCTCATTTCTTGGGCTAGTTGAGCTACGGGTTAATACCAAGGTCGACTCTTGAAGATGAGTAAGGGGCCGTTTACCAACCGCTTACTGGCTAAGCGCTTACCGACAAAGATTACCACCCTAACTTACCTTATCGGGTGACATTCTCGGCCATCAAAATGGAATGTTGCTAGTGTGTTTATCTAGTAAGCACACTAAGAGTCTTTTCCCTCACTTACCGAGTAAGATTTTCGGTCCTTGCCATGCTCATATCGGATAAGATTTCTAGTACTTGTCATGCACATTCTATGAGGTAAGCGACACCTGGTAAGCGCTTACCGAGTTAGCGCCTGGTAAACAGAATACAAATTTCAAAGTGTACAAAAACATGTACCTCAGACTTGGGTGCTGTTTACTAGACGCTTACCTTGTAAGTGCTTACTGGGTCACTTACCTTATTAGATGAACATGGTAAGGACCAAGAATCTTACCTGGTAAGAGCGATAATAAGGACCGAGAGTCTTACCCGGTAAGTGAGGGTGGCAACTCTTACCTGGTAAGTGCTTACCGAGTAAATTGTTGCATACGATGCCGTTTTGATGGACTAGAATCTTACACGGTAAGGTAAGTGCAAGTGTTGACTATTACCGGGTAAGCATTTGTGTAAACGGTCCCTTAGTATAGAGATGATATGTAAATTGCATCTATAAGGCCATGTTTTAGCTTATTAGTTGTGTTTATTGAAATAGCCATAAGCTAGTAGATAAGCTACTCCAAGTAGTGATTCAATAAACTCCTGGGGATTTTTTCCAATTATACCCCTTATATTTTTCCAATTAACTTTTTAACATGTCCTTTTAGGTCATTTACATTGTCATCTAGCTCGTTAGCTCGTTTTTACCGAACATGACTAGTTTATCAGATAACGGCTAGCTTATTAGCCAACAACTAGTTTTTCAGCTAACAACTAGTTTATCGGCTAGTTTGCCTAACATAACCTGTTTGAGTAATAATTAGCTTACCTGTTGGAGTAATGATTTGCTTTTCGGTAAAAGGAAGATGACCTAGACCATGCTCTACCACCTAAAACATAATTCAAAGCCATTACAGATCAAATGGATCAAATAATTACAGTCAAAAAAGAATTCCATTATGTGAGATGGTCATACCAAGCGAATAAGGCGGTCAGCATAGAAAACAAAGTCATGCTTTCTTGTTTTGACATCACGTATAAGGGTGTGCATTCCGCGTATCTGCAAGAGCAAAGACCGTGATCAGGTACAACCCACAAAGCATTTGGAAAACTTATAAGAATATATAATATATAAGGGCCGGTTCAAAGTAAGAAGTCTGAATATCATGAGAAGGTATAAGTGAAGGTTAAGGGAAAGTTCATATGTGAATCAGAATTATTGAAAAGATCCGAAAAAATCTATTTGAAGATGCATATGTGAACCAATGCTACAGATCATTAGTATGGGTTCACATATGCATCTTCAAAAGGATTTTTTCAATGATTCACATATGAACCTTCCATTCTTACCTTCTCATAATATTTAGCCTTCTTATTTGAACCTCCCACTATATATATATATGTGTATATATATATATATATATATACACATACATATATCAATGAGAAGCTTCATAATGCATTCATAAGGGAACATCAGTTACCTGGAAAGTAGACGGTATAACAAAAAGGTTTTGATATATTTTACAAAGATCATGTTGACCGAGCTTTGTACGAATATGTTGCACTATCAAATCTATGGCAACATCATTATCTGATCCTCTAGGAATGATAACATCTGCATACTTCTTTGATGGAAGAATAAATTCCTCAAAACTAGGTTTTACATGTTTATCATACTGCAAACCAGAGTTGAAATGTATAAGAATGTATAGTAACAACCGGATCAAGTCAAAGTTACACCAACGTTCCAATAATTTATAACATTAGAGCTTGTTGCTCCTAAAGGATGTGTTTGGTGCAGTGGACAAGATGGGACATGACAGAAGAAAAGCTTGTTGTCCCATGTTTGGTACAGTACCCACCAAACTAGGTGGAACAAAAATTAGGGAGACGAACAACATTGGTAAATTACTAAAAATTTAAAATCCTAAATCTAAGTCCATTACAACACAAATGGGTGTCTCATATTAAAGAATGGCAGACAAATGTGAGGTTTAGAATCACAAAGATGGCATGTTACGGCACTTGGAGTTGATTAGAACTACTTGTGAACTCTTGTATAACAATCACCTTAAATTTTCAAAAAAAGAAAAGAAAAGTAGTTTCTGCCACTTTATAAAGATCATTAAGTCAAAAGAGAGCTCTACTAACTTGGTCAAGCACATACTGAATATTTCTGCCTCTCTCTACAGTATCACGCTTTATCCTTCTTCCCAACCGCACATCAGAATCTGTATTGGTGAAGTAGTAATAGAAGTTGTTATTATAGGATGGGAGCATCATGAATGTAATACAAGCATGTGGATCTATATCTGAAGCAAATCAAGACTTTGTGAAAGGAACTTGTGCTAAAATGCATCAAGCAGCCGTACAACAAAATTGAGTTTATAAGACAACGCGTTTAATTGTCTCGGACTACTTTATAGGACTTAAGTTTACTGGACCAAAGCTTTGTGTGTCCTATCTAAAATTGTCGTAATAAGTTTATAGAATGCTTTTTGGCGTCTTAACAACTTTTAGGACACTTTTGAAACAAAATGTCCAATTAGTCTTTTTATAGGACACTTAAGAAGTGACCTAGAAACTTTTATAACGGACCAAACAGTCATGTATAACTGACCGAATTAGTTGTGAGTCCCATTAACCTTTTATGCTGGTAATAAACAGACCTTAAAACATAGAATATAAATAAAGAAGCACCAAACTTCTAGTTACAGTTACAAGAAGATCCATGTTAATAAAACATATATGACAAGTAATGAACCTGAATCAACAAAGATCTTCATGTTCATCAGATCTCGAACTCTATGATCATGAAGAACCAGAATTCCCTCCAGAATGATGACATCCACTTGGCTTACCTACATATAATTTGTTTAAATATGATAAGAATTCTTTGTTAAGATCCTATGAATTGTTACAACTACCGATTCTTACTAGAACTACAATGATTCAGTAAAAATACCAAGTTTTTTATGTTGCTGGTTACGGTAAACATGAATTAAGATTTTGTCCTTTCCCTGACTTAGTATTCCCAGAGAAGGTCACGATACTACAACAAAATCGGCTTTATAGGACATCAAAATTTTCTGAATGTTCTAATAGACTACTTTATAGGACTTAAAATTATTTGTTTATATGTAATAAGTTTATATGACGTTTTTGGGCGTCTTAAAGAGCTTTTTAGGACACTTTTGAAACAAAGGTCTTATTCTCCCTTTTATATGACATTATTTGAAAAAGTATCCTATAAAAGAGCTAATGAGACACGTTTCTAAAGTCTCCTACAAAGTTTATTAAGACGCCCAATAGCATTATTAGGACACTTTTGCCATCCTATAGAGTAGTCTATTAGAACACTTAAAAACTTTTGGCGTCTTATAAACTCGATTTTGTTGTAGTGTGAACACCATTCCAATCTTTGAATTAGTTCCAACTTTACAAATGCAATTCATACCATGCGGCCTGATCCAGTGCTCTTATGGATCTTATAATCATATGCTGGGATGTTAACAGGCTGTCCCTTTTTTAATGTTTCCATGCATGAAAGGAGAAGCTCCGTGTTAAAGGAATCTGAAAAGGAATCATCGCATAGTATCGTGTAAGTTTCTACATGTTTACAGAAATTGTACCTTGGGCATTTGAAGATAAGTAACTAACCAGGGTGATCAAAATTGTAATCATGGGCATTTGCAGATTGCTCATCACTCAAGGAATGATAAAATGAATCCTACAAAATGGCATAAAAAGTTGAACATGTTAACGATGCCCTATTGATAATGTGGGAGAATGCCAGAATAAAATTCCATAATCCTGTAAGTTGTAAAACATCCCATTGAAACGGAATTGCTGGCCTCCATAGACGGGCCCCTACAAGTGTTTTTTAAATCCATGACCTTCTGATATGTTTTTAAGTGTTATTGTGTATGAGAAGTGACATTACTGAGTTAAGCAGTAATATTTTCTAAAATGTCAGAAAGTCATGGATTCGGAAGGTAAAAAAAGGGTCAAAGGGTCCTAGACTTGAGTTGCTAAAACTCCTACAGCAATGGCTGGAGTAGTACTTTTATGCTCCTATATCAATCCTAAACCACGGTCTATCCAAATATGTGATGCTCCTTCGTCCCGAAATAAGTGTATATAATAAAAATGGCATACAGTTTTAGACATTAATGAATATTTTGTCTTTTAGTTAACCAATTGACAACTTTACTCTTAATTAATGCATTTATCTTATAAACTCCTAAATATTTGTGCATTAATCAAGAAATGAATTTGAAAATTTAAATATCTATTGTTGAAATTATACACTTATTTTGGAACAAACATAAATAAAAATATGAACACTTATTTGGAATGAGTGAGTTTGTTGCGATTCATTCCGTTCCAAAAGGAGACGATCTTCTTTTATGCAAAGGGGGAACCACTATCGTGCTTGGTGCATAAGGTGGCCCACTTTGTTCCTCTGTTGTAATGGAAAGCATGTTAATCTATATTCAGTTATTAGGTTATCATCTCAAATAGCCACTCATGAAAACATTTATCCTATTTCAAAATAGCCAAGAAATTGCAAGTAAATTTCACAAGACACTTTTTCTTGAGATTTTCTCACAAATTTGACTTATCCCGTAAAAAAGTGGGTCCACCCCAAAAACCATTAAAAAACCAAAAGTTGTGGTATAGTCCCTTGCGCTAATGCATAAAAAGCAAGCCAAAGCAGCCAGTCACGAAACCGCAAACCCATTTTGCACCTTACGAGTCCACAAGGCCGCAGCTTGTGAAACCGCAAAAAAAATGTGACTTGTGGTTTTTTTACTGTTTTGTGAGAAAATTGTGAGGTAACTATATATTTTTTCATGAGGTGGTTATTTATGATGATAACCCTAGAGTTACTACACAACCTTTTTTCAAGCTTTTAGCAATGAAACAATAATACATAACGGGGGGATTACTTGATTGATAAGGACAACCCTTTGATCACGGAGTCGTGATATGATAACATTGCAGACAGTTGTTTTTCCAGATGCCGTTCCACCAGCAACACCTTCGTTTAGGTTTTAAAATGTAAAGTACTTTGTCAACATTGCATCATAACTGTAGCATCAACATAGACACAACTTTTCTAGCACTACAACAAAATCGGATTTATAGGATGTCAAGTATGTCTAAATGTCCTGATAGACGTTTTCTATGTAAAAGGTGTTACAATAAGTTGATAAGACATTTTTTGACATCTTAACAAGTATTTTAGGAAACTCAAAAGTTGTAGTAAACTTTTTACATTACATTATTTGATAAAGTGTTAATTGCCAAATTAAAAATTAAAAACGGTTATCCTATAAAAAAGATATCTAAATATGACATTTCTCAAAAGTGTCATATAAAGAAAGCTAACATGTACTTTATTTCAAAAGTGTCTAAAAACTTGTTAGAATGTCCAAAAGCGTAATATCAACTTATTACAATATTTTTACATGTAACGCATAATTGTTTGCTCATGTAAACTTAGACCATCTACGCCAAATTCAGGTAAAAAGTTAATTACCGATAACCCCAACCGACCCCACATGAAACCTGCCTCCAAGGACAACAATGTGTGAGGACATTTTTTAACTCAAGTCACTTCACCCATTTACCAACTTGGTTGGAGGTATTAAACATATTTAGCCAAGTCACTTCACCCATTTACCAACTTGGTTGGAGGTTTTAAACAATCATTAACAGGAATGAATATAAAAAAAACTGTTTGTTTTTATATAATATAATGTGTTCATTCGCCTACAAGCCCAAATTTTCAGTCTTGTTTAAATTGGGAGAATGAAAATTCATTCACATTCCCCTTCCATGTCATTTTCATTTTCATTCCCTTGTCTAAACCAAACACATTCTAAGAATTGGATCACGAAAAAAGTGAAAATGAGGATGAAAATGAAAACGGAATGAACCTTCATTCCCCCGTTTTAATCTAGAATGAAAATTTCGATGAATCCGTTATATTATATAATACCAAACAGTTTCTTTTATTTGCTCCTATTGATTACTGCTGAATACCTCTAACCAAACCCCCCTTTAAAATTTAAATTATCATGACTCAAGAGCAATGCTTTACCAATGATGAACGGCACTTTATTTCGGTTTTGTGCCGGGGTACCATTTGGTTGGTGCGAAGACTGGTCTTCAACACTGTTTTTAGATTTAGCCGGCAGTTTAGCATCCATCGATCACTGGCATGAAGCTCTGTTATCAATATCAAACACTCAATTCAACCAAAAAAAGCATACAAAATCAAAGAACTTCGTTAAACCAAATCAATTCGAAACAACCAATTCTTCTACTTTCAACAGAAAATCAAACTCCGAGCCACACTTTAATTACGGATAATACTAGTAAAATTAACTAGATAATCACATATTCAGCAACAATTGGGGATCGCAATATAGTTTGGTATCAGATTGATCATTGCAATTCAAATATATCATAAACATATGCATATGTTCAGATATATGATTCAAACATACTGATGTGATCGGAAAATTTCCCAAAAGTCGGAGAAGATATACCTTGTACGGCGGCAAAAAGGAGCGAAATACTTGTTTTCAGCTATAATTTAGAACAAATAATGTAAATCGCCATTGATGCTGGATCGATCGATAAAATAGATGGTATAATTTAGAATAAATAAGGCAAAATCGAGGGGGGATCTCTAGGGATCTGGTTTCTATAACGAATCAACACATTGATCGAAGGAAATCGATCGTAGTTTTAGAATGAAGCGGAGCAAGCGGGAAAACCGCTGTTCTTGAGATGATGACGTGGCGCCAATTATTTTGGTTGCATCAATATTTCATGCAGAATGGCGAATCATGATTAAATAATTTAGTAAATTTGATGTGTAAATTAGTATACTAAGCAAATAATGTTTGATTTTAAAAAATAATGATGAATATGAACTAGAGCAGTATTAAATAGGATGAGCCCTGATGCGTTGGGGAACCCGGTCCACCCGCCCTGTTTGGGGATGAGGACGGGGATCCCCGTTTGTCTCAAACCGGGGATGGGGATGGGGACAAATATCGTATTCTCGTCCTGTCCCGTATTTGTTATGTATATTAATTAATAAATTATATATATACTAAAAGAGTATTCGCATAATGCAGCGAGACACATCTTGATTTTAATTTTCTATTTTATTATTTGTCTCTGTCGATGTTATAATACGATTTTATGTGTTTTAAAAGAAAACATTAATGATTTTATTTTTGAATAAAATATAAATTTGAACATACCATAAAAATTTGAAGAAAAATATATCAATATTAATATTAAATCAACTATTTAAAAGTTTTCATTCTTTATGTAATTTCTTTAATTTA